TATACCCAAAGCATGGACTTCGCTCGGAACCCTCGAAACCCTATCAACAAAGTGGTGGTCACCTCAACCCGAAGGTTCCGCAGCTATGAAGCTTCGTCAATGAGTGGGTATCGCATGTCTATGAAACGGCGGGCGAGCACGCAAAGCCGCCTAAGCTCTCCGGGACCCCATTATAGGAGGTACCGGCTGCGTGTTACCCCTCTATCGTCCTAGCCACAGTATTTCCCATGTGAATGGTTGCTGGATGAGGCATTTACCTCCTCAACAATCCCTCTTTCACATACATTTTTCCTCTCATAATAGATTATACCGCGGTGGTGATTGCTGTTTCTCAGCTCCACAGCTAGTCGTCAGTTAAGTTGCAATGGAGCCATTTACTATTGTATTGGTGCTGGAGTAATAGCTTCAAGAGGTACTACAAAGGCCCCACTCTACACAATAACTGATTAAGCTCCACAGCTAAAGGAATATCTTGTAGGCCCACATTGTGTCATCCACGTTTCATGAACCTGGCTTCGGCAGCTCAGCCGAGCTTGGTACTGTCCACTGATCGCAGGACAGCTGGCGCGGGAGATCCGCGTATCAGCTTCTGAGACAGGCCCACTTAACTACAGGAACACCGAATCAGGGAAAGAAATCGAAATTCGTTGTTTGCTTACTGTTGGACGATGTACCTCCTTCCCGGGTCCATGTATATAACTCACAACTCAGCACACGTGATATATGCACTGCCAGTGCTGGCCTTGTTGTGCCGGGTAGAGTTGCTCCTTCTTCAGGGCTGCACTTCCATACGAGAGGCGCTGGTGAATTTTTGGTTGCATTTTACGTTATGGGAGCTACTTGTGCGCCCTCGGATGACACACGGAAACCTTGACTGTCCAGGCATAAGGAACCATGTGGGTCACCAGTACCGAAACTTCTGAACGTACATATTATATAACTGAAGGCGTATCAAGTTAACTAGAGAACGATCTTGCCCGCTCGAAGCATAATGACTTAATTGATCGTAGCCAATGTGGGAGCTAGGTAAACATAGACATCCCCTACACGTGGCTAGTTTAATGCTGCTGAATAAACATAGTGCCGTCGAAGAACCACGTCCAGTCTTCGAATATCCCCTTGATTGATCTGAGTGATGGAGGTAACTTATGCGCTCCAATCCCAAAGCCGTACTCTATGCTGTAGCCTGAAAGCTCCACTGCCTGAGGCTAAGGTGATTCGAATTCTTCCCAGCAAACCAATAGGATGGGTCCCGAAGATATCTCATCGTGCATATCGCGGTTCAAAATATGGATAGAAACACAGTCCCCAGTCCGCAGGTATGGATAATGCCGGAAGTATCATGCAGCTGGAACCGAAAACACCCCAAGTGCATCGACTTAATCCTAGTCTCTTCAGTTACTTGCTACTAGCACAAAACGCTTTGATGCTGATTGGTTGGAAGTCTTTCGCGTCATGTTTTCGAAGCTGGCCTTCAAACGATACTAGCATGCTCTTGCCTCCCTAATCCACATATAAGCTGTTGGTGGTCCATATGACGTTTGGTTGTAAGGGTAGATTTTTCGATCGCAACCAGCGGCATTGGAAGGCAAGCGACTATCGAGGTTGGATTCCTAGATGTCACACAGGAACGCAGGTGGTGTGTGTGGAAACTCCGTGCTGGAGTCGTCACCACTAGCGAAGATATCACGTGATCACAGAAGCTCCTGAAGAAACATCCACCCCCTCTTACCAGGGTACGTTGATAATACGACGGCAGAAGCTATATAAGTACGGGAAAGACCTTAATTTAATTAAGAACTGTATTCTACTTACCCTAGAGTATATAGTATATTTATTTAGTTAATGTAGTCGATCGCATACAAATCCAAATTATCTTGGTGATGTGGCACGTGATTGATTGTAATGCGAGCGACATCATGTAGGCAAGGACATAAAAACCCAATTTTTAGTTGAAAGGAAGAAAAATGGTTAGACTCAGAAACTAGAAGATGGGTTTAAATACACGTAGGGATTACCTTGAGGGCTTTATGTAAGTTCAAATAACTCGTGGACAAGCATAAAAATAAGGGCACTCTCCGATGGGGAATCGCTGTTCATAGCCATTGGTTGGAAAATAATTTATTTACTATCTGCATGACTAAATACATGATGACCCTTTACTAACCTAGAGTTTGCTTCCCGTAAACACCTATTATATTTTAGTAAATAATTTTGACAAATTACAGCTCCTATTCAGTGCAAGGGGCCTATTTAATATCGTTATGATACAAGCGCTTGCGCGGAATTGCCATCTAAAGCAAGTGGGATGCCTCGGCTTATTGACTTAAAGCATCGTGGTGAATGTTTGCTTGCAAGTCTTCCTAGTTGAAGGTCTTATTTTGGAAAACGGTAAAGTTTCCCACGGGGGCCGTAACGCGGAGAGCCGAACTCGAGTGTTATGCGAAAGCCCTGTAGATTAGCAAGACCAAAGCTTTGAGTACTGATATCCAATGTTAGGATATACTACCGACTCTTGTTCAATTGAAGCTCGACCGGCAAAGATCTGTATGCCCAGGAGCGAAGCATACCTAAGCCACGAGGAACTTCAAGGTACCTGGGCTCAGCAGCATGCTTAACGGTAAAATTTTCGTTTGGGGCCGCAGCAGGTAGATGATTGCTCTAGCCAAAAGTCTCGTTGCTTCGATTGGTCGGGGACAAGATGTGGTTACCATCGTCCGGCTGACGGCAGATCGATGTATCTATTAATGAACGAACCGGGATGAAGCTTATGGCATGTTGAGGTTGTTATCCGTTAGTGTTCAGTTACCGGAACGGATGCGCTGATTCAGGTTTACTGAAGTCTTTTGGCTACAAGGATTGGATATTTTGTAAGGTATTCTGGTAAGTTCCAAGACTCATCTAGCTTTGAGTCTCGCGGCAAGGTTAGTTCACACGTTTTAGTAGATCGGGAGGCATGGTTTACTGAAAAGTACCGTGCCAAGGCTGAAGGTGACATATAGTAATTGGGAAGTCGCAAAGATCGGTTGCAGTTGTGTGCATTGGAGGCTTTGAAGCACATGCGTCACCCCAGTTTTTTGGTATTAACTTTCTGTCAGGCTGATAGTTGTATGAGGTTGAAACTGGTTCAAGGTGTTTCGTAGAACAGGACGTTATTTTGGCACATGTAAGAAAGGTTATCGTATACACGAGTCTTCTGGTTTGAGGATCGTCTGCGGAAGTAACTGTGATCGACGGCGATATCTTCAGGATTCGCAAGCTAGTGATCTTTTTGGATTGGGGTGGAGTGGACTTGACACTCAAATCCACTCTAAAGCCATTTTGCGCCTCTCAAATCCAGGAGCTCTATGGAGCTCCGATGTAAATATATACTAAAAATATGCTGAACGTAGAAAAGGATGAGGACTCTGTCTATTGAATATGGCTCTAGAAGCTCTCTATATAGATCAGGTAGGTCCAGGCAACTGAGTCAAATAGGTAATAGAAAGTAGGTAATGAGACATTCGATGAGACATTTAGTCATAAGTTCGTATAGACGATCTAGGTCGTCAGACAGTAGTTCGATGGTGGTAAGGAAGTCCGATTCAGGTCGACAAAATAGTAAATCTTGGCACGATCTTGGTGTTGAGGTAAAGAAGTAGTTGGGAGTTATAGTTACCAAAATTGCACCCCAAATCACCTCTAATCGCTAGATATACCTTATCTACCTCATCTACTTTAACTTTATCGCCGTCGACCTTAATCGTGGCGTATTCCTGTGGATTATCCTCATCATCTACTAACTGGGCGGCGGCGTCCGCAGCCTTTGAAGCAGCCAGCTGAGCCTTTACAGCTTCCTTGAAGGATCGCGGCTAGCCATCCGGCTCTCCCTCTAGTACGCCTACTTCCTTATTGTCCCATGAGCCTTTCTGCGGAGGCCTATATAAGTGGCGAAGTGTCGATCGAGATAGCAATGACGTAACAGTCGTCATTGTCGACGTCAGCCTTCGCCACCTATTTCATGTATATATAGTCTCTTTTCTTCGTAGATCAATCTACACACGAGTTCTTCTTTTCTGATCTTGATTTTCCGATCGACACGGGGGCACGCTTATTTGCCTTAATTATATCTATCTGTAAGCGAGAGTGACGATCCTTAAGTAGTATCTGTGCGCTGCTGAATAGGCGCTCGCACTCATCTGATATAGGTGGGATTGCAAGAATATCGAGAGCAAATCGAGCAAGGTCAGGCTGGCTGTAGTAGCGATCCTGCTAGTATTAAATAACGTCAGTCTTCATTATCTTTGAGTTGTATAGTGTTCGTGGCTAGGTATAATTGGAGCCTCCTCTTCTAGCTAGTGAGAAGCCTTAAGGCGTTTGTAATTTCGGGCAGATCTTTTCTTTCGACGGCTTCTGTATAGGTGCTAGCTCTGCTATTAGCGACGATTGAGTGGCTTAACGCTTGCCTTTGTATTCAAGCCAAAAGCCTCTGATAAGTTCCTTAACCGCGTATAAAAAGGGGAAAATAAAGTATCAGATCGTTGAATATGCATGGCGAGAGAATAGGTAGTGGAGCTCTCTGAGCTCGAGAAGATAAGGTATTACAGGAGTGGCCCGTGCACAGACCGTGCATGTCGGCAAGCCCCCTACCAACAGAAAGTATAAGACAAGTTCTAAATTTAATTTCTACAAATTTTTTTTTTCGTGCGGCCATAGGCGTTTGCTACAATTACTATGTATCGCTGGTGGTAACAGAGTGAGATTCCATACGTGAGCGAAATTAAATTTTACCAAAAGGGGGAGGGGGCGGGGCCGGTGGAACCAGGTCATGTACATAGCTGAACTATTTCCCCCCATCTGGAAGAGCCCTTTTCCGATCGCTCACCATCCTTCACGGAATAGTAAGCCTGTAGTCCCAGTAATACTAACGTAAAGAAACTCTATTTTGGAACCTCCTCAAAAAAAAAGGAGTATGAAGCTTAGGGTGTTGTTAGGCACAAAACTGGCAAAAAGGAAGGTGTCTCTCCGACGGGGAATCGAACCCCGGTCTCCCGCGCTTGTTCAGACATCATCTTGACAAGCGGAAATCATGACCACTAGACCATCGAAGATATCCAGGTAGGTCCCTGGGATGGTTGACGAAGTGACATTTTTATCAATATACAAAGAAAAAATTTAGGGCAGCAGTATTCTCACATGCCTTTTCGGTACATATACATGTCTGTTTTCGGTGCATACACATGCCCCCAAATCAGGCTTAGTGCTTGCCTAGATAGGCTGTTTAGCATGTTTGCAGACAATCGCGAACTTCAAAAATCCATCGCGTCAAATACGCCCACGCGCGCAACCTCAAACACCGCGAGGATACATCAATTTGGCGCGATCCTTTACACTGGAAGCTTCCTCGAAGGCGTGGGCGAGGAAGAGGATGTATGGGAGGACGAGGAGGACGCGGAGGATCACATCAACCACTGCAACTGCGCGCGCCTCAAATCGACTGCATCTACTGCTCTACCGCAAACCTTTGCCCCTGCGCTCTCTTAGCAGTTTAAACCATTCCATTCGTCGTCTTCTTCCATAGTGTTGATGAAGGTAGTAATGGTAAGGAAGGTTAAACGCGATGGATTTTTGAAGTTCGCGATTGTCTGCAAATATGCTAAACAGCCTATTTAGGCAAGCACTAAGCCTGATTTGGGGGCATGTGTATGCACCGAAAACAGGCATGTATATGTACCGAAAAGGCATGTGAGAATACTGCTGCCCAAAATTTATGGAAATTTTTTTTCAAATGGAAGTTCCAATTGGATTTGGTTAGATTTTGGTATCATGGCCTCCAGTCCGTGAATACCGTTATGCACTATTGCATACCCGAGGAGGCTATATGTTAGCATGCTTGAAGAGGATTATAAATGTTAAGATTTAGAATAAGAACCTTTTACTTTGATATAGTATTTCATATAGTCACGGAATATGTATGATGTAGGTTGCGGATTTTTTAATTCTTCAATATTACATGGGTTGGTCGCTCAAGCTATTCCAGAATAGCAATATTTATATATATACAAACTACTTCAACTGATTCGAATCTGATGGAGCGTAAAGCTGGGGCTGCCTCAATTAATATGATTTCAAGAAAGAACTTTAGAATTAGAACAGAAAAACCTGACCTAATCAAACCTTACCGAAGTAGAAAATCAACGTGGAAAATTAGGTGTAGTATTAAGCGATAATCTAGGGCAATGCATATATCGCAGCAAGCAAAGAGTTAAGCAAACTCTAGCGCCCTGTCTGGTTAATTTTTCTAGACCTTAGTATGCCAAGCACTAGTGATTGAGAAACATAATAAGCCACAGCTAGCCCCAAGTCGGGCAAGAATCCGATCCTGACCCCAGAGGGTTAAGAGAACGAGTCTTAGGTCGAGATGTTTCCATCATTATGATACACCACCACCATTTCTTCGGAAAGAGACCTTCTCTACTGCCACGTTCTCTACGCCGTTCGCCTCCTTGCGTAATTGGTATACATAGAGTACTAGAACATCTCCTTGGACCTGACAAGAGAGCATAAGCCTTTAACCTCCAGGAGGGAAAAGTGGTCACTATAAGACTTACATCCATCAGAACAAAACTTGGCGTTGGTTCTTCAGCATCTGGCCACCAACCGGTTGTCATTGCACCTGTAGCACTTCCCGGATTGACAAAAAACTTGCCCTCCATCTCGTATGCCTCAAATTTGTGCGTACCACCCCATAATAGAATATCCACATCCATTTGCCTTGCCGCAATTAAGAGGCTGTCCCCATCACCAGGAGGTATAATGGTATGTCCATGAGTGAAGCCTATCCGTAGTGAACCGTGTGTGACAACCTTTGAGAGTGCTAGGTTGGGTGCATCGACATCGTAATCTCCCTTGACGATTTGGAGGTCTGGAGCTACGCCACGGAGGAACTCGTATGTTTCTTTGTCGGTAAGATTCCCCAAACAGAGGATTTGACCAATTTTTCCGGGCGCCAACAGCTTCTTGAACTAGGAGCAATGAGTCTTTGAACATTTCAGGCTCTACCAGGAGTAAATATGGGAGCGGGGAAATACCTTGGCTGGAATATCCTGTCACAATTGTAAGCTACGCAACGGCCTTGGAAAGAGGGAGCGCAAGACTCACTGAGGCTCTGTCCGGTATGAATAAATCTCCTAGACAGAGTACCAATCTCGAAGTCATGGCGAATGCTCTCCTTCTGCTCGCCTAGTCTAAAGATGCGGCAGGACGAATGGGAGTATTCGGGAAACGGGTGTGACCGGCTTGCCCACAGGCGAAGCTGGTGCGCATTGTCTTGGCGAAATTTCAAGGGCACAACATCAGGTATCGAGGGCGACTTTCGGAGGCTCTCAACAGTGTGCACGACTAGTAATTTCGGAAGTAGAGGGTCGCGGAAGGAACGTAATTGGCGACACCACGAATTGCCATCGGGTCCCTACGCTGGGGGGGAGTAAGAATAGCAAACTTCCCGGTGGAGTCAGACGGCAATATTCCGCGTTTAAACCTATGCACGGTTTCCAACATCAAAATTTCAAGCGAGAGGACACGGACAAAGTTTGTATGGGAACCCTTAAAAACCGTTATAGCCCTCTTATCCGTCAATCCCCATAAGCAACGTTACGCGTATTTGAAGCCCATCCTCCCACACTGACTCCAATTACCCACAAACACGTGCTGTCAAGCTGCATCCGCTCTCTACGATATCATAACCCTGAATTCTGCACCCTGGTGTCCCTACTGCGGCTTCTATCCGACTTTACCCCTCCACATCCACCCTGGCTCCTCCGCGCGCTTCCTCCCGGCTCGGTCTCTTTGCTAGACATCTCGACACTAAAACCGTCTTTGAGCTGAACACGCCCTTCTCTACAGAACGCTCTGCAGTGACCGACGACGATATAGGTAACCCGTCTCCCCGCCGGGCAGCGAAGTCTCCCCCCCGGGCAGCGAAGTCTCCCCCTGACACCATGTCGAACCAACCGCCCCACCCAGCACTCCTGATCCCAGGACCAATTGAGTTTGACGATGCCGTTCTGCAGGCTATGAGCCACTACAGGTCCGTTCGATGGTCTTATCCCTTCTCATGTGTATATTGCTAACTCCAACCCAGCGAGTCTCACGTCAGTGCCCCCTTTGTAGAAATTTTTGGCGAAACACTGTCCATGTTACGGAAGCTCTTCCAAACCGCCGACCCGGCTTCACAACCATTCGTTATATCTGGCTCGGGCACTCTCGGCTGGGATCAAGTTGCCGCTAATCTAGTCGAGCCTGGCGACGAAGCTCTTGTCTTGCATACTGGATATTTCGCCGACTCGTTCGCCGACTGCTTCGAAACGTACGGCGTCAAGGCTACTCAATTGAAGGCTCCAATTGGGGATAGGCCACAGCTGGATGAGATTGAGACAGCGCTGAAAGAGAAGCAGTATCAGGTGCTTACTGTCACCCATGTCGACACATCGACAGGTGTATTGAGCGAGCTCAAGGCTCTTTCTGAGTTGGTTCATAGAGTCAGCCCAGAAACACTAGTCATTGTCGATGGTGTCTGCAGCGTTGGTTGCGAAGAGATCATGTTCGACAACTGGGGTCTCGATGTTGTGCTCACTGCTAGTCAAAAGGCCATCGGCTGCCCTGCTGGTTTGAGCATATTGATGGTATCAGGCCGAGCAATTGAAAGATTTAAGGCTCGTAGGACACGGCCGACATCTTACTTCGGTTCTTGGAAGAACTGGCTTCCGAGTAAGCTTTGCTCGTCAGCATCGTCAAATCTAAATCTGCTAATACATATCCTCAGTCATGCAGAATTACGAGGCTAAAAAACCGAGCTATTTCGCAACTCCGTCACCACAACTTATCCATGCGCTTCACACCGCTCTGACTCAAATACTCTCTCGACCTCTGGGACAGCGATTTGCTGATCACCGTGCCGCGTCACAGAAAATCAAGAAAGCAGTTACAAACCTTGGGCTCAAGCAACTTGCTACAAGGCCGGAGAATCAAGCAAACGGTATGACGGCAGTATACCTTCCTGAAGGTGTACAGGCACCCGAGATCTTGTCCAGTTTGATGAAGAAGGGCGTCATATTTGCCGGAGGCCTTCACAAGGAGATTGCTACGAAGTATATTAGATTTGGTCATATGGGCGTAAGCGTGATAGACCCTAATAGACAGGACGTTGATAAAGCACTTGAAGCATTGAAGATAGGATTATCGGAGGTGGGGTACAAAGTCTAGATTTAATTTCTCTGAAAAGATTAGGGAGGGTGTGCTGTATATAGCTCGCTATTAATATTGTCGCGGGCCTTGGTTGGAAACGGCTTTATAAAAGTTGTGTCAGACATGATTGTGAAAAAAGCTAATGATAGACCTGTCTTTACCATCTTCTCTTTGACTTTACGGTACGATCGACGAAAGGTTGACTCGAGCTGTAAGCATGACTGCGTGCTGATGCTAATTCCTGGCCATTAAAGGTTACAGGTTGCTACCCTAACAAAGATATCCTCTCAAATTCTTTAACCACAGGTGGTTCTCTTTTCTTGCTTTGTTCCTCCAAACTATCCCATAAGACACCCTCTGCACCGACAGGCCTTTCAACCCCACCCACCGCTTGAGTCGTGTCTTCACTAGCCTTCCCGGTCTGAAACACCTCGTTAATAGAATCATTGCATAAGATGACCACGTCCCTCATAGCTTGTGCAATGGCAGCCGCCTGTTCACGCATCCTTCTCCGTATCAATCCCTCTACAAGCCTCTGTACCTCCTCGTTGACCCGATTAACCCGCTCAACAAGTCTTTCGATAGAATTCACAAGGTATTCCTCTTCGTACACACTCCCTTTTTTTCCTCTGGCCCGCTTGCGCTCTTCACGCCTCCGATTCTTCGAGGTCTTACGCGTCGTCGTGGTATTAATCGTACCAGTGCGATTGGTATAACGCGTCATGAAAGTACCGCCAGACGTGGACGTTTCAGTGGGGGCGAGCGAGACATTATCCGGGATGTCCGGAGAGTCAATGCCGTCAAAGAATGTCACTACACGATATCAAGATAAGAATCCTGTAGATTACAAATAGGGAGTGGGTAG